AATTGATCTTCATCGCACTGGGCCTAGCAGCGACTGCGTTGGTTGTAAACAATTAGACTAAGTCCCCATATGAGTATACCAAAGATGAGACCTGCCCCGTACCGATGCCAGTACATACTTAGGGGGAAGACCGAGACCTGTGGTAGGAAATGTAGGATGGAGGGGTACTGCTGTTTTCATAGGAGGTGTTTCATAAACTACACGTGTTCCGTGTGCGGTATTGGAGTGAAATGTCACTACTGTTTATATCAACACATGGGACACATCAACTTTCAAATGATTGTTACTACAAAGCTGGATGTCTTCAGAGAACAAGTATTGACTGAATCAGCTAATATATATACGTGTAACCCCAACGTTCTGGAAATAATAAAACGGGAAAGCTATCCTGAACCCAGAATCGATACGATTATTCTAAATATAGCGCTGGAGGAGTTCCCTCCCTTGTTGGCAACCAATTAGAGATTGTAACACATGGATATAACAATGTCTACTGTCTGAGAGCTCAAGCAGATTGCGAGAGAACGAGGTGTAGTGGGTTACTCCCGAATGAGGAGTTGTTGAGATTACTCGACATACAACCCCCTCCCACGGTAACACAACTAAAACTCCGAGCAAAAGAGTTGGGGCTGACGGGTTATTCTCGTATGAGGAAAGCCGACCTAATTGAACGGCTGAACGACCCCGTTCGCCCCCACACTGTGAAACAACTCAAACAGGAGGCTCGAGAGCTGGGGTTAGTAGGTTATTCTCGTATGAGGAAAGCTGACCTAATTGAACTAGAGCTGTTGATCTAGAGTTCATGCGCACTGAGCGCGCTGTAGGTAACTATCTGAGATGATGGCACATGCATGTTGATAAGAACATAGACAACGCCGACGTCAAGCCTCTAATCGCTGATAAAGTTAATGAGGAACTAAACGATTTGGGAAGTATAAAGTTTGTAATCACAGTGAAAATGTCACTCGATAAACAGCAGAATGGGGGGGTCATTGACTACGTTCAGCCTTACTTCCGGGGTAAACAAGAAGTCGTGACTCATACCGAGACTATAGACGAGTCAATCGATATCAGTTTTCAGCAGATACGAGAATACCTTGAACGCTACACGCACATGGGTTCCGGGTGGGTCGTGGATAAAATCGATAAGGTCTATCTAGACATAGCTAACTACGTACCATTAAGAGGGGGGTCGTACCTAGACCAACCCCCCTACTACAAAGCAAAACAGGCCATGGTCAACATCAAAAACAAAGGCAACAACTGTCTGAGATTAGCGATCAGAGCCACTAAGTTCCCGGTTAACGTTAATTCGAACAGGCCTTCTAGCTATCCCCAAGACGATGGGCTCAACTGGGATGGTATAGATGAACCAACCCCCATCTCCCAGATCTCCCGAGTTGAAAAACAGAACGATGACATAGCCATAAACGTATTCGGGCACGAAGGTAACAAAACGATCGTGCACAGGGTCAGCCCACAGGAGGGGCGCAAGACGATCAATATATTCATGATCAGGCGAGGTGGGAAGTACCACTACGCCTGGATCAAAAAACCTCAGCAGGCTGTTGCACGACCAGTCGAAACACGTGGGGAAAATACACTTTTGCGTACGATGCCTACAAGACTTCACACGAGCTGATTTATTAGAATCCCACCGGGAGGATTGCCAAGGTGTGGGGCAGACGGCCATACGAATCGACATGCCCAAGGAAGGCGACAATATCCTAAAATTCGCCAACCACAAGAATCAGATGCCCGTGCCTTACATCATCTACGCCGACTTCGAAGCCTTGATTAAGAACGTCCCGACGCGGCTGAAAAGTTTCTAAAGTGTTTGCAGGAGGAAGAGAAAACTATCAGGAAAGCACTGTACACAGTCGCTCCCATGCGTATGACTCAAGCCGACCGGCTAGCTCACGGCTGCAGCACTCACTGCCATGTGTGTGATAGCCCGCTGAACGGCGATTCGGTGAGAGATCACTGCCATGTCACCGGTAAGTATAGAGGCGCCGCTCACAGCGCGTGCAACCTCAAGCTCAGAATCAACCCCAAGACAATCAACATCCCCGTGGTCTTCCACAACTTGAGAGGGTACGACTCTCATTTGATCATGCAGGCCATCGCGAGGGTTGACGGCAACCTGACGTGCATCCCCAACAACATGGAGAGATACATCTCCTTCAGCTTGAATGTCCTGAGGTTCATAGACTCGGTTCAGTTCCTCCTGTCGTCACTTGACAGTCTGGTCAAGGCCAACGATACCTTCCCCATCACCGATCGATACACCGACGCCGAGACTCGACCCCTGCTGATGAGGAAGGGTGTTTACCCCTACGAGTACATGGAAGGCTGGGCCAAGTTCGCCGAGACCCGACTACCCCCCATCAACCGATTTTACAGCAACCTGACCGACTCGACAATCACCCAAGACGATTACTCGCACGCGATTAACGTATGGAATAAACTGGGCTGTAAGAATCTCGGTGACTACCACGACCTGTACTTGAGAACAGACGTACTCCTGCTAGCCGACGTGTTCGAGACGTTTAGGAGGACGTGTTTTAAGCAGTATCAACTCGACCCCGCATGGTACTACACCAGCCCAGGTCTATCTTGGGATGCCTCGCTGAAGAAAACCGGAGTTAAGCTGGAATTGCTCACCGATTACGACATGCACCTGTTCATTGAGAAAGGCTTGCGAGGTGGGATCTCCATGGCTGCCAAACGCTACGCAAAAGCCAATAATCAATACGTGAAGGGCTACGACTCTAGCAAGCCAACCACTCACATCCTCTACCTCGATGCCAACAACCTGTACGGTTGGGCCATGAGCCAGTATCTACCCACAGATGGATTCGAATGGGCATCACCCGAGATCGATGTTATGAGCATCGCGCCGGATTCGAACAAAGGCTATATCCTCGAAGTGGACTTGGAATACCCCAAGGCATTGCACACATAGCACAACAGCTACCCCCTGGCCCCCGAACGTTTGAGGGTTAACCCAGACTGGATGTCCGAGTACCAACATAACTTGCTGGGTGGGCGGGTGGCAGACGTTGAAAAACTCGTGCCCAACTTAATGAATAAGACCAAGTGCATCGTGCACTATCGCAACCTGCAGCTGTACCTGTCGTTGGGTATGAGGCTGACCAAAATACACAGGGTGCTCATGTTCGACCAGAGCCCCTGGATGGAGCCCTACATCAGAATGAACACGGACCTGCGAAAGCTGGCCACCAGTGACTTCGAGAAAAACCTCTACAAACTCATGAACAACTCGGTGTTCGGTAAGACGATGGAGAACCTGAGGAAACGCGTGACCGTGAAGCTGGTTCGGTCGAAAGAGGAAGACAAGACCGGAGCAAGATATTCACCGACGACCTGGTGGCCCTGCACATGAAGAAAAGCCACATCAAATTCAACCGGCCTGTTTACGTGGGGATGAGCATCCGAGTTGGTTTTGCTAAACCTAAATTGAGTACATAGTCCCAACTTGATTGATCGTTTTGTTTCCAGCTCTGTTTTCAAATGATGAATTATGTCAGGTTGAATTTTCACAATATAATAGTACGGGTCCTTCCCTTCTTCACCCCGGGGAATAAAATCAAATTCCCTCGTATTCCCACTCAACGCTTGTCTAGAGCATGACTGCTGATTATCCGCATTAGTTTTCCTACGTTTAGCCGCCCCTCCACCTCTTTGTTGTTGTGAACTTGGAGAAAAGTGTTTCTGTCTTGTGTGTTTGGTGAGACCTTTCACTGTGGGAAAGGTCTTTGAACAGACACGACACGTGAATGATAATCGGGAACCTGTGTTAAATGGATTGTCTTTGTGTTGACTTTTTAGATGTCTTTGTAATGTATCACTGCGCGAAAACGATTTGGAACAGATTTCACAATCAAAACGTTTGTTACAGGGACCACAGTTTCTTTGATTTCTAACGAGCGAACGTTTGTGACCAAAGATATTTTGACAAAACTCACAAGTGAATACGGGTGTAGTAAATGGGGTAGACAGTTTTAAAGAGGGTCTAGCAAACAAGGTAATGGACAGATTATATTTTCTGCAATCAATAAAAACAACAAACAAATTGAATTGTCTAGCTTTCATGAGGACAACATAATGATTCAGCAAAAATATATAAACTTGTTCTTCACACAAACACACACACACACACACACACACACACTCGCGCACAATATGCATCTTTATACAATAGTTACTGTGCCTTTTACATTTTCAGTATTTTTATTTATTGTTGTTATTGATTCTGTTGAAATGATTGCTCAATCCTGTCTGCTATATCATCATGATGCAATCTCCTGAAAGCTTCTATCACTTGACCTAAATTGTTCTGCCTGATGACAATGCACATCAAGTCTCGATTGGATTCAATCCTACCACATTGTTTCAAAGTAGCTCTTTGGTCGGTATAACATGCGAACGTAATCATTCCTTTTTCAAACAAAACGTCGAGAAAGAATGGGGTTTCTAAATTATGTACGATGTAAGTCGAATTGACTTGAATTGCATTAAATTCTATTGATATCATTTTAGTTGTTTATTATCGACTCCACAAGACAAAGATAAAAAATTAATGTGGTCTAGCAAACAATGCAGGTGAGTGGGAGAATATTCTGAAATATTGTGAAAACTAAATTGTTAAGAAATGTCTTGTCATTGAGCATAAATGTGACACTTATTGAAGTAAAGTAATACTTGTGTTATTCTAACACGTTTGACAGTATGATTTCAATATATATATATTATGACAGTTTAAAATTAAAACTCTTACCTTTCAAACAAAGAATATGTCTATTCAACCTGAAAAGAAATTCAAACTCCTGAGGCACCTTCTGGTAAGTGAGTAGAAAGGTGGATGGCACAGATATGACCAATGTTCGTGCATGGAGCTCGAGAGACTAATGTGAGACTGAGATCCGAACTCCCCACATTTTATATTTCGTACAATATTGGGGTACAAGGCACAACACATTTGAATACTCTTTATTTAAACCTGTGTTCAGACAGACAGCTATTTGAAATACAGACGTGCTCTTGTTCAGTTTAGATCGAGGTTTCATAAACTACGAAAGAAACAGGTAGGCATGTTGGAGAGGCTAGGATAGAGTTTATAATATCTGTAAACTGTTATATATAAAAGATGAATATCACTACTGGTTTATTTGTCATAAACGTCACGCATTGGGACGTGTGTACATCCCTTCACTACTTTTATGAATATCCATAAATTTGATGAGCTTTTGAAGCATCAAATGCAAGCAAGCGGCTTGAAACATTTGTCTGTTTATACACACCAGTCTATGTTACTGAAACAGTTTATATTACAATTTACTTTCTCATATGTGTAGGGCGGTGGGGTAGCCTAGTGGTTAAAGCGTTGGCTCGTCACGCCGAAGGCCCGGGTTCGATTCCCCACATGGGCACAATATGTTAAGCCCATTTCTGGTGTCCCCCGCCGTGATATTGCTGGAATATTGCTAAAAGCGGCGTAAAACTAAACTCAGTCAGTCAGTCATATGTGTAATTCTCAATATGAAAACCTGGGTCTATGGTCAATATTACTTCCTGAAATAAACCATTTGATTGATGGAAAATTGAAAACATATCACGGGATTACTTGAGGTCCGTATCTGAACTAAATACACTATATCCATTTGGGCATAGATTAACATACATTTTAACACACCGTCCTCGTCTATTTGCTGACACGAGAGTTACACAAAGCGTACAATACAGGCTTTCATCTCGCACAGACATAAGGCCAACCACTGCTGATGCAATAAAAACATCGTGACGATTGTCTTTTCTCCTCATAAACCTGTCAAAAATATACCGCACGAAGAGAGGTTTCAACGTTCGGTGATTCGTAAAGCTGGCAGATTACTTTAAAATGTCACAACCATATGCGATTGTCTGGACTATAGAATTTTCGATCTATTCCGACATAATGTCATTCCGACCTGTATTGACGTGGAGCACAAGTTGATGTTATACAAAACAGCTAAGTTAGTGACTTTATATATGTTTTTTTTTATTTATCATTACATAATTAATAATCCTCCATTTTTGCATCCCTTGTGATGAAAGAATCACGGTCAGTCATTTTCCTGCTAAACTGTATAGAATTCTCCAACATAAGGGATTAATATTTCATTGTCAAAACAATCAAGGCTATACTGTAGAATATGTGTTATTTCAATATATGCCTAAATTTCCCTACAATCGCCAGTGGCTGAAGGGATGGTGTAAATGCGGCTAGTGTCCATGCAAGGTAGCCAAAGTATTGTAAGTCTCCATGGGCCCTAGTACGGTGATCTGACAATCTGTAGCCTGAGTTATATATTGTATCGTCATGCATAGTTAAATTATTATAGAATGAATTACTAGTTTGATTAATATCTGTGATAATCTAGTTGTTTTACTGTTGTTGTTTGTTTTCACCTATTCTTGTTTTAGTTACGATATGGGTGACATAGTGTTAAACTGACTTTTAAATTTTAACTCACTCACATAATTCATAACAGATTATGAGTAATAGCAATATATGTATTAGTCTGTCACAGACACGAAGCGAACTACTGTTGATGCCCACTCACTAACTCACTCACTCAGTGTTGACACAGGTATCCACAGAGCATACAATAACAGACCTTCATCTCCCCACAAACCTAAATCTAGTGTAAAAAAAAGTGTATCGGTAAATATTTTTCAGCACAATAAAAAAAAATGTGTGACACGATAGGTTCCTTCCGCTTGGTCTATACATGTGTCTTTTATATATATATACTGGTCATATATCCGCTGGATAATAAACGGTATAACGCACGTCAATCTATCTATGACATAGCCGAGTTTAATCCACTGTTGATTCATAGTGTGGTTTATGTTAATAATCTATACAATAACAGAAACGTTGTCCATGTCTAAAACATATGAACTGAGAGCAATTAAGCATCTCCATCTATTCAGACAGGGACATTTACACGGTTTCGGGCAGAATAGAGCCAGTATCTTGCTTCTGCGAAATATTCCATGTTCCTGGACCTACTCTAGGGAACGACATCCATGATGACATCTCATTCCCTGGAACTGAACTAATATGAAATGCAAGCTATATTTGTTATAACAATACATGTAGTTAACTAGACTCAGGGCATATATAACATTCATGTAAAACAATAATAAGACACATCCCTCGAACCTTTCATATTCAGGTATATTCCATCCGACAACTTGGGGGTAATACTTCAGCAACACAGCACGAAGATTTTCATCGTTAAAATATAAGTTGCAGATGAGAATGTCCTGTATCCACCCTCCCAAGACATCATATATTATGTTATCTATGAAAGTGAACTGGTCATCCAAAGAATGCATTATTGAAATACACCAATCCACAGTGGTTATTGACAGAAAAAACTACTTGCACTGCAGCGGTGCTAATGTATTGTTCAAAGAGGGTGTTCATGTTTTATAGTGGTTACTTAACTGAAGCAAAGTACAATAAACGTATTTTTGCCCCTTCTAAACCCGTTCAAAAAATACAGGTTCAGCGATCGGCGGTTCACTTGCGATTAGTTCCCGTATCCGTCCTCGAGGATCCCGTCATCCGTCGATTTTCAAAAAAAACAACAGAAAAAGGCGATAGGACCGTCGCGCACGGCGTTTAACGTCGTCATAACGCGTCGACGTCGAGCTCGAGGTACAATAAAAACGTCACGATTCGAGTACGGGAGGTCATTCAAATACAATAGAGCTACTGTCGCCTCTCCTCAGCACACACACCAACCCCACCCCACCACCCCACCCCCCGGTCCCGGTTATCGACTCGACCTCGAGAACAATGGGAAATGTCAAGGTTACACGACGTCACGTGACTCGATGCACCGCACAACACCGGAGGTTACGTCAGAGCACCACCGGAAGTGATGGTGGCACGCCGGATGTGGTGCTGAACATCTTCTTTTCTCTCTTCTAACATGTTTTATCTCTGGTTTTACGTGTCGGGCTTTAGCTACCTTCGACCGTTTTCATATGTACGGGTAATACACACATATATTCTGTGGCAATAGGTATAATGCCGACGGTTTTTAGCAAAAAGTATTCTTTATGCGAGTGGAAACAGAGTTAGTTAGTTTGTAGATAGTTTAGTATTGTATCATGTTGGGAATGGTGACAATAAAAACGGCTGTGCATCGCACAGCTGATGCACTTATAATTGTTTTGTTATTGATTATGGGACTGTTAGGCTTGCGAGAACAGTTTTTCTCCTACGTGTCCACCTGCCTGGGACAATATATCTCTGTGGAGGAATATTTCTCCAGAAGACGAAGCAGAATTCATGCTTTTCCCGTTCTTCACGCCAAGAATTTTTTTAAAAATAAAAATAGCAACGAGGCTTTTTACTAACAGGGTGGTATACAAGTCTTAATTTTAGAAATATCATCTCACCTACGGGAATATTACAAATCCAAACATATTGATACGGTGTCTTGGGATCAGTATTTACTTACGAAAACAACCAAAAAAGAACCCAAAGCACTCAATGCAAAAATGTAAAAAATTATATTATTGTGAAATGAGCCGTATGCCTATCGTCTATATTGATATGGTAATGCTGTGTATTACGCTGAATGCCCGGCTTCGATTCTTCTTCAAACTGTGTCATTTGAGAAATTTCTAACCTCTGCCAGTGAGGGAGCGGGCGGCGAAAACAAAAAATGATGTAGTAAAACCATTTGATGTAAGACATTCTATGATGCAGATGATGATCAAGCTAACCTGGTAATGAAAATACATTTTCACAGCGGCGGGAAAATCAGTTGCACTCTGTGTCGTTGCATGCAGTTGCTTCATTCGGCTAACATCACTGGTGAAATCATTACATTTAACTTGTTAGACGGAAAACATTGTCTCAGCCCGACTCGCAGTTAAAAAGCCACACTGCACCGGCAGCTCACTCGGCCAATGTCCACAGTCCCAGAATACATCTGTGGAATGTAAGCTGGTTCCCGGCTCCCTTTGCGCGCGCAAACTTGCGATATGCGAGACGGGGCCCAGCTTATCATGGATTGTTGCCTGACAAGACAGATTCATCTGGATTTACTGTTCTTAAGTTATGTTGGTAGTAGAAATAAGACGTTCATATTGCCCCATGTGGTTTACGATAATGACAGATGTAATAAAGATAATATAGAGAAGATATTTAACCTGTACGTATACCGTATCCAAACTGTTTATAATTTATTTTCCTGTTCGTGACCAGCTCGTGTTATTCCGGGACAAGCCGTTCTTGGATGTTACGGAAAGGGGCGAGTGGTGACGAATGTTTTGGGGCCAGAGACGTTAATAGAACAGCACGTCAGTAAGCCCTGAACGAGGATTGTTAATTTAGGTCACGATACCGTCGCTTTTCGACCCAGATTAATTTAGTATTAAATTTTACATGTTAAAAAAGAAACTCAGTTCTCTATCTGTAATGAAGTACTGTCTTAATTATGTTCATATTCTACTATCGTTATTGTGTAGAGCCACAAGTCTCACGACCCAAATCTGTGTGACATCAGCTCATGGTCATAACTATACGCCATGATGTGCTGACAAATACTGAACCAAACAAAACCTTGGTGACACTGATGTGTTAAAACAGAGGGCGAATTCGCTGGGCTCGCGTCTACATAAGTGATAGGAGAATATTTTCAATGTGGATTAGCATGTAGATATAGACCACGTTTATCTAAACTTGGAACTGAATCCGCAGTCGTTTTATCTTCACGATACCTATCGGAAACAGTATGTTTACCTCCACTTTGAGGAAGACACCGAGTGGGTTGCGAAAAGTGTAACGAGTGGGATATTGATTAGAATCAAGGACACACGAATATGGTCAACTATTGTACAATTGTGTTTGAATTGAAATGCCCCGGAAAACTCATGGTGTGTTGCGCAGTGGAATTGAAAACTAAACTAACTTAAAATAGG